AGAACGACTCACCACTACGCTGCAGGGAAGAACACTGCTGCAGAGGCTGGGATACCCTCTCACCCCTCAATATTGTGGCGATGAGACAGTCATTGTACCCAAGCAAATACGTGATCAAATAATCGTGGAACCAGTTCCAAAAAACATGCACCCGCTCTACAACAAAAAGCGCCGTCAAGCGCGAGCACGAAAACTCCTGCAGAGAAGTAGCGATCCAGACGCTTACTTTACCGACGTCAGTCTTTATCCCGCGCCACCACAAGGCTCCAGAAAACAAGCATATGCATTGGCAGTGACTAACCAAAGCAAAGTCGTGGCCTGCGCGTCCCTACGCACCAGATCAAGTGCCACCGCAGAGGCAGCAGCCATAGCCTTGGCAATCAGAGAAGCCGAAAGAAGGGGGCGCTCAGCGTATATTTTGACAGACTCACAAGCTGCATGTCGCTTATACCTTGTGGGAATTGAGGCTGGCCCGCTGCCTTTGCGCGGGCTTTCCCGCCTTTTCTGCCATTCTCATGTCCCGACATGTCTGCCCTCCTTCGCCGTCAGCCGCGCTGGGAAGGGCGGAGTGACGTTTAACTCCCTCACCCGGTAGCGGATGTTGACTGTGGCGCCGCGCGCGGGGGACCCCCGAGAGGTTTTCGCGCGCTGCGTCGGGAGCGGAGAGTACAGTCCGGGACTTCAAACGGTGAGCCACGCAATTTTTCCGTCCGTCGAGTCCCGTCGCTCGGGGCTCGTCGGACTTCGCTGACGGCGCCTCGCGCCCGATGCGAACGCTCACCTTTTGTTGCCCCGCTGCGTACTCCCGGCCGAAGGGCAGTACGGTGTCCTAGTGCGTGGCCTAGCTACGCCGACCCGTCTCCCTTCGAAGCCAACGCGAGCGCCTTTGCCCTCGCTCGAGCAACCGGGCCCCTTTGTCCCGGTGTCTCCGTGGATTACCTTTACCGCGGAGACGTGCTCGTGGCACCCCTGTGTAGTACTTTGTGCCCGTGGCGTGGATAAGCCTACTTGCTTTCCCGCCGCGCCTTTTTTGCAACGGGCTGTACTGCGTTGGTGTTGCCACAATAAAGTGTTGCGACTTGAGCAGTATCGTGTTTCCCGCCACGGCGACGGTTAACGCGTGCCCTGCGGCTCGCTAAGACCGGACCCACGCTGGTGGCCGTAGTCCTTCGGGATACGTGTACACCACAACCTTAGAGGCACACTTCCAAGGTGCGTCACTGATATTTTGGGGTCCATGTTGTTGGAGGCACATGGCGTCACTTGGTGCCCAGGGCATGACGGCCTGGGGAAAACGAGGAGGCAAACTGCGTAGCTCGCGGACTTACTGGCCGAGACGCAGGACTCTCCTCAGGACACCTCACAGGGCATCATGAAGAGCAAAGTGTAACAAGCAGGCAGATATTGGAAAACCAACGCCTTACAAGACGCACGTACGCCCCTCCACATCCGAACTTAAGCAGCCAACAAGCGCGGGATTGGCGCCGCCTCCAAACGAACACACACCCCCACATATCAAAACTACACGCAATTTTTCCACAGATATACACAACAGGGGCATGCCCATGGTGTAGTAACCACACAGCCACACTTACACACATAACCTACCAATGTACCGAGCGGCCAGCCAATGCAGTATCTAGGTTGGTGCGCTCACTACAAACACTCACAACGTGGTCTTGGGAGGCACGGCTTTCCGAGCTGGCACTGGGGAGCCAACTGATGACCCTAGACCAGGCCCGGCGAGCCGCTGTGGCCAGTGGGGCTCTACAAGAGGGCTCCACCCGGGATTAGTCACGTAATTTTAATTCTTCAATAAAGTTTATTCTCTCTCTCTCTCTTTTGTCCTTGTCAGTTCACGTCTCACGTTAATTTGAGTATTCTTAATTACAGATCAACAAGTATGTGTACAGCGCTGACTCAGTCACGTCGCGTTTATTTTTAATAAAAGGATTGAATTGTCTGTTCAAATGACATGCAGAGCCTTACTACAGACTGCAGTGTTTAAAGAAAAGAAGTCATTTGCCATTGCTGAAAGAACGTGGGTACCAAGTTGATCACGGGTGCTGTTTTTGCTTAGGTTCCGGTTTCTGTGGTGATGTCGTTTGTCTTCTTTCTTATGCTATTAATCTCCTTTAGGTAGGCCTAGCCTTGCGGGACTATCATGTACGTGTCGGGACGGCTTTAAGCTCTCCCATAGTGGAGTACCATGTACTCCAAATTGTTAAACACTTTTTCTAAACCCACAAACACACAGGCCTACGGAGCGGTTTTATGCTCTCCTATAGTCAGAGTACCTAGTACTTAACTCGTTCACTACTTCTTCTCAACACAGCCGGTTAGCAGCTCTAAATACAAGTGGGCCTCATCAAGGGTGAAACCCACGGGACAGCTTTATGCTCTCCCATAGTAGAGTACCAAGTGCTCTAAATCGTTAACTATTTTGTCTAAGCACATCTTCAGCCACGCCTTTGAGGCCATAGGACCGTCGGGACCATAGTGTTTCTTAAAATTATCTTGATGAGACTCTGACGCTGCAATCGTTCAGAGACCATGGGAATTATGGGTGGTACACAGATTTGCCTCGTCTTCGTGCTTGCGGGCGACGAATCGTACTTGCGGCTTCGTTTATTGCTGAATCTGATTTCATGTTGAAGGAAAGAACGAACCTTTTTTGAATTCCGTGTACCCGATTCAACATGGTAAGCCTAAAAGAATAAGGTGGTGAAGCGCGACCGCTGAAAAATTGTTGATTTTTGTTTCGTGAGAAAGTAGCTCCAAGCCACACGAACACACGAGGGGCCAGAAGCAGGCCAGAAGTGGGAAGATTAGGCTAATCTTTGTATTACCCATCATTCCCATGCTCGCCGAAGCGCCGTGCGTTGCAGCTCCCATAGACACTAACGCCAGAGTTCCCTCTTGAGTATATTAGGAAATTCTATGACCGGGACAGCCTTAAGCTCTCCCACAGTAGAGTATACCTAGTTCTCTGAATCGTTACCCACTTCTTCTAAATACAAGCGCGTGTCCAACTTTGGCTGGAACTCGCGGCTTCACGTGAAATTGACTGTGTTGTTGGCAAGTAACTCCCGTAGTCGCAAACTCGTCCATGCCGTAATTTTAGGGGAGAAGCTCCTGAAGGCGTGGATCGTGCGTCCGCGATGTATGTAGTTGAAGTAGTAGTAGTCGTCGTCGTTATAGCCACCTCCAGGACCGGACTAGAGGAGCGGCGCGCGCGCACTCTTTTGAATCGATTAGGAAACCCACGCGCGTTAATGATAAATGAAAAGATCGTTGTTTCTGATGAACTAATCTAAAGAGACGAGTATCGGTGAGTTAATATCCAATAAAATTTGCCTCGAATTTGATGCTTACTTAAAAAAAAAAAACTAGGAACACAAGGACGCACTTTGAGCACTATCTGACCAGAAAAGGTTGCGATGTTAAACTCGCTGGGCGTGTACAATCTTCTTCGTTTTAGCAAGGATTAGCGAGGTTGGGCCACAGTGCCATGACGTACCGGTTGTGAAAGATGGTAGACACGAAGCGCAGGCCGTAAAAGAGTGCGCGCGTCCCGCTCCTCTAGTCCGGCCGTGCCACCATGCTCTAAATCATTAAACACTTTAGGGAGCGAAGCTCCCTATGCCGTGGGTCGGGCGTCCGCGATGTATGTATTCGTCGTAGTAGTAGGTAGCCAACTCCACGGCCGGTAAGGAGGTTTTAAAATATTGCTGAAGCGGAAATTATTACCTACGAGTACAGTGAACTAGAACCAACATGCTGGTTCTAGTTCACTGTATACCTACAAGTGAAGCCGTGCCCACCGTTAGAGGGCGGCTGCGGCACCCATCTTATTAGGGGCATGATGAGCTGTTGACGTTGGGTGACTGAGAAAGATCGTTTTCCTCCCACGCCGAAGAGTTAACACTTTCGTGACGTCACCTATCCACATCGATAGTGTGTTGTCGATATTTACAATTTCATTATTTGCCCCATTCCGAGTGCTTGCGGACACCTTGCGCTATCTAACGTGTAAAGTAGAAGTGCTTTATCAGTTTCGCTTTTGTGTTTCTCTTTTTTACGCGCGGGTGAGCGTGCGTATAGCTTCAATGATGGCGTCGGCGTTGCGTGTGAACGTTTCACGAAAACGGTAAATTTCGAAGGGATTCTCGTGCATCTGGGCTGGAATCTCGAAGTGATGACACCGATACAGGCTCGGAAGACGACATTGACACTTCTTAATTCAGCATGGATGACGAGAATTCGGCAAATCGCCCGATAGTCCTCTGGTGAGTTTGGCTTTGTGCTCGGGCCGCGTTAACTTCCACTCTAGCAATTTTTTTAAACCCCCTTGGTGTTAATGCTGTGTATTGTAGCATTGCCAACATGAGTCCTGGAGGCCACTTAGAAAGAAGCGCGTAGTTCAAATCTGCTCCCGTAGGAGTCGCAACGATCCCTGTGGCTGCTGAGAAAACTGCATGCTATTTTAATGAACTGATTCTATTCAACTTTCATTAGTTTTTCTGATAGTTATTTGACAGTCACCTCAAGCAATGTTAAGCTCCGATTTTATATGTACTCGATGTAACTCTAAACTTGAAGCCGGACCATAACTATAGATTTCGAGCTACATTTGTTCTTTAATAAGAATGTCAGAGACTTTACACGTCAATACCTCAATATTGTTATAAACCACGCCGTAATGAAGGGCTCCGAAAATTTCGACGATGTGGTGCTCTGACATCGATAAGTACACGGGCATATATCAATTCCCCTCCATCGAAACGTGACTACCGCGGCGGGGATCAAACCCACGACCTTCATGTCATCGTAACCACTGTACCACCGAGGTGGATCACATTTGTTTTTTTCAGACTGTTTTTTTAAATATCTTGAAACTGGAAATAAGCGCTCGACTAGAGGTGCTCAAAACAGAAACAATGGTGTGACTGGTTTAAGTGCATCTATGAAAAATAAGAGTTAGGGTGTCAAGTACTGACCTGGGGACCTTCGGTCGTTTGCTCTAACGGCTTGGAGTCAGCGTTCTCCATGCACACAATATGCGTCAGCGACGGCATCTTGTTCGCCACGCTGAGAACGCGTGGCAGAAGGTCGGCTGACGTCACCAGGTGTGTTGCCTCGGTCTCGTTGATGGCGCTGACGATGCCGTCGTTTGTGAGCGTCACGTACAGAGTCACAAGCGGGACGTTCGTGCGGAAGCAGGCCTGTGCCGTCAGCAGCCACTCTACGCGTGTCTCGGCCAAGATGGCCAGGTTCTGGCCCGGTCTGGCTCCCACGGCGTGCAGACCGCGTGCCGTCAGGTCAATCTGCTCGTCGAATTCCTGGTACGTCTTCCACTCGTACTCTCCTAGGACGAGCTTCCTGAAGACCTTGCCGCTAGGCTGCCTCTCCTCGTTGTGTCCCAGGACAGGTCGGACGCCCACGGCAGGCCTCTCGGAGTACAGCCGGATCGCCGTTCGGGCCAGTTCGTCCAAGGTCTTGACGCCTTCCATACTGGGGATGGACTTGTTTCTCAAGCGGCGATAGGGCGACGATGGGTCTCCCTCCACGACGGGCTTGGCGTAGCAGACGCTCTTTCTCCTCCAGTACACCCAGGGCTGCTGGAAGACAAAGTAGACTGGGAAGGTGATGACGTCGCAGACGACCAAGAGGACCTTTACGAGAGCCATGAAGACCTTCACTGCTGTGGGATGCGTGGATGGTGTGACGGACGTCATCTTTGTTGTGTGTTTTCGCGTGCTGCGGTGGGACGACGGCGAGGAGCAGGAATGTGGAGGAACGGTACCACTTGGCACGGCAGCTTTTGGAGAACCCAAGCAAGTTGTAGATTTAGACGGGTTGACTCCGTGAACAGACCTGTTTAGGTCTTTGTTTTCTCTTTCTTCTCTCAGGCCACACAATATGTGAACAGATCAGCTTAGGTCTTTGTTTTCTCTTCCTTCCCTCGGGCTACACAATGAGTACAAGATAAACACCTATCTGTATGTTTAATAGTCTTTATGTTTCTTACAAAAAAGATAGATTCTTTACGGAACAAGCTACGTGGTCCTTCAGAAGTCCCACATAAGTAGTGCCTTGTGCACTAGCCGCACTAAAGAATAGAACAAGACTGTGGTATCATCGGTCTTCCTGTTCTTCGAAGAACCGTTGGTTTCCCTGTTCAGCCTTGAAACTGGGTAAGTGACGCGCTGAGAGGGAACACAAATGGAAGCGTATGATAACCGCGGATGACACTTCAGCTCTGTCTAACAGCTCACGTGAAGTGGCACTTTCGTGAAGGAGTGCCCTGACATATTGTCCGTCACCCTCTCCGTCCGCGATGACGCTCTGCTTGCCTTGGCAGGAATCCTAGTCAGCAATACGGAGGGCTTCGGCGTGTTGTGATTTCTTGGCTGGGCCTGCAGTACAAAGAATGCAAGGAATTAGCATGTTCGACATTTACAAACGTACCATTCGTGACATCGCGAACTCCAAGTTCAGAAAGCCTTATATGTCTCATCAAGTCAAGAAATTTTGAGGTCTTGCGAGACTTCGGTAGACCGTGGCGTCAACACAGATGATGTGAATAAAGCTAATAAATGCCGGCGAAAAGTCACGTGGAACTCTAGTGCATAAAATGGGTCGATGGCGTACCGAAAGACCCAGGACCTCGGTGCAACATGACGCCACCCTGTGTCG